ATAAGATCGCTTATGAAAGGAAATAACAAAGTTGATTGATTAAAACTACTTTTAGGGATTTTATCGCGTATCATTTTAAATGTTTTTTTAATTCCCGAACCCCCCGGAACGTTGATGCTTCATGTCAGCTATACTATGTTCTTTTACGCGGGCGTTTAACGTTCCGGGAAATCTGCAGTTTGTGAGCATATCGTAGGCGGCCCCAACCATTACTTCAGATTTAATAGACCGCAAATCCTTGCGAAAGAACATTGATTCCTAACAAGGATGAAACGTGAGGCTATTGAAATTAAAAAAACACCCTAATTTCAAAAGAGAAGGAGGCTGGGTAGCACCACATGCTTGGGACCCTGTAATTAATAAAATTGAAACTAAACCCAAGCATACCACTGCAAGACTTCAAGACCGAGTAAGGTCATTCTGCATAGATCGGACCATAAACAATAATTTAAAAGCTGAAAGATACTCCGGATTAACGTTGACATCGGGACGTCAGTCACCTTAGTCCCCCGTGACCATGGGTGCCAGAAAGCACCCGAAACGTCGATAATTAAAAAACGATAATTAAAAAATCCGTAAAAGTTTTAATCAATGTGTAGTGTTCGCGTAAGTATAAGAAATCATTAAACAAATTTGACTGACAATAATCATGTTACTTCTATAGTCCATAAATACGTACGTGAGTATATTGGAATGTTAGCGGAATTTATATGCATATGCTAAACTCTTTCCTTATGCGATTTTAAACTGTCGTAACTTATCTTGCGCAATCTCTGTAAGTAACGGTGTTTTTATACAATTTGTTTTGAAATATATAAACATATAAACACTCACGCCTGTCACCCAGAGGGGTAGGCAGAGACTACGGACTTCCATTTGGCACGATTCTGACATACCTCTTTCGCCTCCTTTACATCCATATATCTACGCATATACGCTCGTCGGTTAAGGGTACTCCAATATTACTCTACTCTTATATGGGGTACTCCTAATATGGCCCATTTTCAAAATATCACTAGTTTGTTCGATGAACCTTCTTCTAGGGCATCTCTTTCCGACTATGCCGTTCACATCTGCAATATAAATTTGCTTTGTCACTCTTTTCTCGTTCATTCTTTCTACACGACCAAACCACCGAAGCATTCCTTTCTTAATCCTGGTCACAACATCATCTTGCACACCAAATTTTTCTCTTATCACGCAATTTCTCACCCTGTCATTTAGATTCAGTCCTGTCATTCAGATTTAGACTTGTTTTGAAACTTTAATTAAAAGCAAATAATAGAATAGAATAGAATAGAATTCTAATAATTTTATAAAAAGTAATTCAAACAAAAGGGTTTCTGATGACAGCGCGTGATTTCTAGAATATTTCTAGACCTAACAACGTCAGTTGAATTCTTGAATTGATTATAATTCAGTGCTAGTTCTCAGACCAGCAGGCAATCCTTCAAGAAGGTCTGCGTGAGGCCGACTCACCGGAAAATTTATCAAGCTTTATTTTATTACGAAATATATTTCTTAACTGGCGTGCTGTGATTGTGGTATTGCATACTTGATGAACTAAATAGGTGGTGAGGTTCCATTTTCCATAGGAGTCCGTCTAGGTTGGAACACATCTGATTTGAAGGGTTTTACCCTTCAAATTGCCTTATCAATATAATTTAAGGTTGGTTTGATCCTAAGCTCTCAAAGTTCAAGAGTGAGATAATGCGTCTGTGGCTTTCTTTATTCAAATTCAGTCGCTGTTGATGAATGATTGTGTTACAGCACATAAAGAGTCCTTTTAGTTCGTTTTTCACTATTATAAAAAATATACGCATTACTCTTTTTTATTACCTTCAAGAAACGAGCTTACTCCTTTTTAAAGTGCCAGCAACGCACCTGCAATTCCCCTGGTGTTGTAGTTGTTAATAGGCGGCGGTCCACACTTACCATCAGGTGAGCCACATGCTCGTTTGCCCCCTTTTCTATAAAAAAGAAGCGACAACCACATCCGCGGCCTGTATTCATATAATAAGGACAAACAAAAATTACTACAAAATATTAATAAAAAGGAAAAATAAGAAGTATACTTTTTTACATTAAGGCAACTAGCATTTTGAAAAAAACTAAATTTACGGATTTTATCGCGTTTATTTCACTACTTTTACTTATTTTTAATTCCCGACGTCGGCTACCAACCATGGTCACGGGGGGGACCATGGTTGCTGTAAAGCACCCGAAACGGAAATCATTATGCAACTAGCATTTGTTACAGTAGGTACATAAATCAATCTAAAAAAAACAATAACAAAATACTCTTTTCTAATAACTTATACGTGTTAGAATAGAAAGTAAAGTGCGTATTGCTTTTAGTTGTGAAGTATTACTGATTCAGCATGAAAAGGGCAGCTCAATCGGGAAACGACACTTGCACATAATACCAGCGTGAAAAATCACCATAATGTTATAGTTTCGTACGGTGATTAACTGCAACCGGAGACTCATTAGTAGCGGGCATACTATCTTAGTCTATTTATTTATTTAATACAGATACACCATTGGCTTATCGCTAGACATTGTTCAATATAACACAATTGGTTTTGTTCAAAATGATTCGCCTTTAAAGTATATACAACATTCACAAAAATAGTGCAGCTACAATAAGTAGTTGTTAACTTACTTAACTAGAACAATATCATTAATAAATTTACAAGTAATTTGCTTACAATAAAACTAATGCTAAACTTGAAGAACAGAGAAAAAGTTATAAATACTTATTACATAATCCAGCAAATTTTGATACGTTATCCGTATGGAAAATGTCGACGTCTCCGTTTGTGGTTATGTCGTTATACGTTTGCGTTAACCTATTTATTGGGGCTGTTTACCTAAATTTGTTCTCTGGTTGGGTAAACAGATTTGATTTAACAGTGCCGGTAATAGTAGGAGGCCGTGAATTAGCTTATAAAGTGTTTTAGTGTTGTAGTCGTCATGGAAGACAACCCACCTGCATTTTCATTCTTAATTGAGGATGGATGTAGATGTCCATGGGTCATACCAATCAGTCACTATCAGGTGAACTGTGTGCCCATTTGTTACTTTTACTTCTATAAAGAAGTCATATTTACCACTATAATTAAATTTAAACTATACATTTATACATATAGTATACATTTTGAATGAACTTTTACATACTGTTTTATATATATATATATACTTTCGTCTATATTAGTAGGTTTTGATTTTTGATTATTTTCTATTGGAATAGATTATATTTTCTTCTTCTTCTTCTTCTACTACTACTACTTTTACTGGACTCATACGGATCTCATCTATTGCGGAGAATTCGGCTCAATAGTCACGTTTGGTGAGCAGATTGGCGATCGCAGAAGCTGACCTCCCTCACCATTAATAATGCTTTCAGACGCAGTTCTGGGTATTTTGCACCTGCGGTTATCGAAATAATTATACCGCTACCTATTGGAATACACAAGATCCGCCTGCCGTAGATGCTACAACCACACCAACAAAAAGAAATAGACAGAAAACCATAATATTCATAATTCAAGTGACGCTGAAACCATGCTCAACTTCTGAACACGTACTCACATACACATCTCGTACTAAGGAACTTATGGATTGGCACTTGATTTGGTGAGGCCAATCTTGTCAGCCAAGAGCACATGTGCCATTGTAGCTATCCTCGCAGTATCTATATATAGAATGCAATTCGAAGAGTGCGCACAGGAATTATATGCGTTAATTTCTCCCTCCCCTTTCCACCAACCCCTTTCAATCAGGCGGTCGAGGGGTCTTCACCACCTCGTCTTTTTCGTCTTCGTCACCTTATTTTTTGTAACACTTATAACAAAAAGAGTAGAATAGTTTTCCGACGTCTGTCTTTCTATATTATAGAATCTGGGCGTCTTCAAGGCAAGAGTGAATGGGCTTTTGTTACGCTAAGATAGTTCGGTTTGAATCTTTATCACTACTTACCATCAGGTGGTATTGTGGTTAAGCACTGGTTTATAGTAAGTAAAAGAATCATTCGCATACAAATACAAATGTAGCAAATGTGTACGTGAGTGCGTATTCTAACATTAACATTTTTATTGTTGCTTCTTACAAAAACCATGGGATGAAGTAAGGTGGTGGATTTTTAACGCATAAGTGTCGGGTATGGGCACATGTATATTAGTTATAAAGTTATAATTTAATATAAAGTCACAAGTGCTCATAGGCCAATATAATAATATTTAATTAATACCTACGAATAAATAAATAATGTAGTAAAATTGACCAAATAAAACTTATAACATTGTTTAAAACTACTGTATAAAAAATATAACATTAATCTACTATATTTGTACTAATTTAGCTAAAGTTCTTTGTATTAAGTGGTCTAACCTTACCTTTCCTAAAAATGTTAACTTTTATGGCGGTACTTATAAAAAAAATAAGAATTGAATATCAATGTTAACTTTAGTGTAAAACTAACTTTTGTTGTCGTTATTGTTATTGTGTTTTGTCTTTGGTGAATATAAGTTAAATTTAGATTTATAATATATTTTGTGTCACGGATTTGTTATTTGTGTGTATATTATTTTTGTGAGGAACTGCCGTCTGTGATACAAGCTCGGCCTAGTACAGCCGGCAGTAACCGAAGTAAGCAACTTAAAAATTTGTACACACCAAGCTTATTGTAAAGGAAAGGAATGTAATTATGCTAATAAAGTTTATTATTATTATTATATTTATATTAGTAAATGTAACTCCATATTTACGCGTACACTTGTGTTGTTATCCTTGACAGCTTCAAAAGGACACATGATATTATCATAATCTCTTCACCAACCATGTTAGTGATGAATTCGTTTACGTCATCTCGAAATGGTGGTACACCCTTATGGATAAGTGTGTGAACTGTAAACTTGGAAAGTCACGAGCTCATATCCGCCCTTTGATTGATATCGTGAAATCTTAACAATGATTCCTAAAACCGCTTCTTTTTTCAGTACGTTGCAGTTGCACTGTGCGTGATGGCGCGCGCAGCTCCCCCAGCATCACCACGCTTCTATCAGCACCCATCTCAACTCCAGCAAATTAACCCGTAAGTCATCCATTAATTCATACCCGCCTATCAAACTATACTCTCCTAAGCATAGTTAATAAAAATCTATAGGGAATCATAAGGGGAGTACTTGCCATAGTTGCAACACTTGACGGCCGGGTTGGCAACTGTAGTTTTTTTCTATTCAATAAGCAAGAGGCGGATGCCCATATTCTGCTTAGTTTCTTTCTGTCGGCACTTACGGCACCTATAGGACAACATGAGGCAGTGGATACTTTAACACGACTACATGGTCAATTCGTTAGTAAAATATTAATTTTTGTATTTTTTGTGTGTCTTTATCATCATTGTATACGTGGTAGAGCCACGCTGCAGCTATATTATGGTTGTAGAACGAATGGGTCGGCTGAACCGGGAGAGAACCACGCTCTTACAGAATACCAGCGTAAAATAGCAGCTTAATATTGCTGTGTTTCGTATGGTGAGTGCAGAGATCCGTAGACACTTTTTTACTGGAAATAAGGCATTCCATCTTAGTCCTCAGGGGTGACAACGCATCTGCGTTTTGATTCTTAATCGGGGATAAATGTGGATGTCTATGAGACACAGCATCCACTTACCATCAGGTGGAGTGTGTGCTCGTATGTGAACCTTATTCTTTAACAAAAAAAAACACCGTTAACATCTTTATCACCCGTATTTCTACTCTAGTATATGGGATTGTTCAATTTAAGGGTGGATTTCTGAATTTGTCGTTCGCCTCCACACTGCCTCCTTGATCTAGTCGTAAACACAACTGTGGATTATACGATTTCGGATTAGAACTATTAGAAATTTCCAGTAGCAACCCGGTATTAAGAAGGTGGCGATATTTCACCCCCGTGTCTCGGAAAGCACGTAAAGCCGTTGGTCCTGCGCCTGATCTCACTCCGATCGTGATGGTTTGCTGTCGCATTAGACTATGAGAATGATGACATTGATAGTACACCTATGTTTGAGCATGCACTTGGGAGCTATAGTCCCGTCCTATGCAGATGGCTAGTATCCGATGAGAATAGACGCCGTGCCCCAAATTCTATCTATAAATTTGTCGTCAGCCTAGCGGATGATCGATCTCAGGATAACGTATCTAACATTGGCACTGTTTCAGGATGTATGTATGGATATTTTACAAATGGCATGTACAAAGGGTATAAGTGGGCACATTTAAAAAAATAAAGTCGTCTAGCCCCTCACATACTTTAGGATTTTCGCCTATATCGTGGAGGTCTTAGGGTACCTTTACATAATGCTTAAATATACATACACTTAACGCTCATACTTTAAGTTAGAGGCGTTTTGCATCTATATACGTAAATTGTACACAGACAAACTTTCGAACTAGGAGCATTTACCGAAAAGCTTTTTAAAAGGGTCTTCGGTTCTCTACACTCACCCCAGTTAAGCCGACCTATTCGTGCTACACCCATAATATAGCTGCAACATGTAAATTAGATTTTTAGATACTCGTATATGAAATTATAGTGTTTCTTCTTTATTAACTGTGTTATTTGTTCTTACGTTTCAGAGTGGACTATTATTTAGATAATCCAGACGCGGTTAATTATTACAATCAGCCACAACAGAAACAAGGTATTTATTATTTTATAATTGACAATTTCCACGCACAACACATGATCTTATACACACACTCACATACACACACTCATATAAACACACTCGGGTACATAGTTATCATAAGTTATATGCTTCTATGTTTTAACTAACTTGACTGTTAAGCTCTACAACTTATAACACATTCGCGGTTCATGAAGCAGACTTATTTATGTTACCAATATCTAACGCCCCATCTCTTCGTCGCTATTATCGTTAGTGTTCTAGTAATATTTGGCGTTATTATTTCACCAAATCCACTGGTTCCTTTTTATCTGATTAGATCCTCTTACATATACGAGACGCCACTATAAGTAAAATTTATTTTTAAGGAAATATAAATACAGCGTCAAACGGTGCTCCGGCTAGGCTAGAGACCCTGGAGCCCGACAGTGAGGTAGAGTTGATCCCTGGTACTCAGCAGCCTCAGCAGCCACCACAACAGGTATCTTTATATTTTTAAAGTAAAACTTTTCTTATTTTTTATTAACTTTAGGACACTAGAATTCTCTCACATATCGTGGAGGCAATTTACGTACATACATAAACTACACAGGGACAAACATCCAGACCCGGTACACTTATTTGTCGACCATACAAGTACTTGTTCCATGCGAGATTAGAACCCGCGGCCCTATTTAAAAAAAACTTGTAGCTTTTATCACCCTTATTCTATAAAAACAACAACGGAAAAGACTTATGTCTTTTGCAATTGGCAATGGGTTTTTACGGTGTATGAAGAAATAGAAGAAGATATTTCTTCTGCTCTTAATTACTTCCAACGAATGCGTGAATCGTCGGACGGTTGGTAGCAAAAGAACGCGTTCAATTCTTAGTAGCTCTCTTAGAGAGTTATATCAAGCAGATGACTGTCTCAGGCTAAGGAAAATGATTTCGACTTATCTATAGTAACTGTTTTAACTGACAATCAATATAATGTTTTCCAGACTCCAGTGTCGCCTAACATTCCCGGTCTACTTCCTGGACAAAGAGTGTTCATAGTGCACATGCCCGTCCCCGGATACAGGTAATACTTTTTGTATCCATTTCCTCATTTTTACTTAAACTTGAAAGTAGATCGTAAATTAAGCATTTATTGTACCCTTTTGAAGGTCCGGCTATTTTTATCAGAGCCATTATTTTCACTCCTGAAATAGACAATAGGTTTAGCTATTAGATCTTGATTTGTGTCCAAATTTATTAAATATGAAAAAAGGTGGCAGGCACATTATTCCAATGTATTTGGTTCCTAATTCAGAGTGTATGAAATGTAAAGGAAAAAAGGTTGGATGAATGATGGCCATTATCCCACAGATAAAATTATGAAATATGTATAATCATACCCATGAATATAGTACCTAACAAGTTTATTTTATTTTAATAATGTTATACAAAAGTTAAGGACCAATTGCTTGGCGTGCTTTCTGAAGTATGTTTATTTTATTTTAATAATGTTATACAAAAGTTAAGGACCAATATTGCTTGGCGTGCTTTCTGAAGTATGGAGGTGAAACACCGCTAACTCAGCATAGAACTTGATTATTACTGCTGTATTATCTTCGTTACTTGTATATACATAAAGAATTATTTTTGCACAGGCCAGGCACCATAGGTGGTTATCAGCCAGTGTACATAGTGGCCGCGGCGCCACAAGGAAACTCTTATGGAGCTAACGGTACGTATAATTAACTAGGAAACTCACCAGATAGTGTGGAAGTACTGTGTGGAAGCGACATGAGAGAAATCACACCACCACACCCTGTAGGTAAATCGAAACTTAAGTATGAATAGTCCATACGGACACATTCCTCCGTTTTCTCCCTGGATTTTCACGAGACCAATTTTTGTTCTTATTGCATAAACGTTAAAATAAATTAATCAAGAAATAACACCAGTCAGCAACCCATCGCCAGTCAGTGCCAGTCAACCCATCATCATCATCATTTCACAAATCCACTGCTGAACATAGGCCACCCCAAGAAATGCCACAACGTACAGTCCTAAGCGAACCCGTACCCCGTTGAAAATAAAGTGATTATTGAATAATATTATATATGTAATATCTAAGATTTTCTAATCACGTTTTATTTCAAGAAAACAGAGAAATACGTGATGACAGTTTTGTTAAGTTTCTTAAATATAATCAGTCCCAGATACAATGTTCCTCTCTCTGTGGCCAAGCTCGTTCTTTCGGACACAGCGCGACACCAATTGATCATTAAAACATCTTTGTCAATTTTTATGCACGCTCGATATCCTCTTAAGGAAAATCCAAAAAGTTCTTGTGTTCCGATAGATGGCGGTACAACCATGTCGTATTTACCAAATCCAAATTTACGTCTTCATTGTTAAAAACATTTTAAGTGCGGATAATAAAATATTACAAGGAAATGTGAAGTCCACCTCTCTCATCTCTCCTCTTTTCCCCTCTTTCCCCCAGTACTCCTGAACCCTCTGAATAATAATGGGAGATCCTCTCCAGCAGTGAGACGTATGTAGGTTTTTTTCCCCCGTCTTTTGGGTTATGTAATTCGTAACTGTTATTTCAGTATGTAGGATGTTACTTTTTACTGCTACCTTACTTTTTATTATCAAAGCCAAATCTCCCTAGATACACCAATATCGAAGACATTCTGTAACTTAATCTGTAGTTCTTATCTTCCAGGCTTCCAAAACACGGTTCTGTTAGATCCATCTGGGCAAGTGGTGTCGCCTCTGGGTTATAGCGGAATCTCTGGTGTCAGTCACGCCAACCCAGGACTATTACTGGGGGCTCCTCCCGCTCCTCCCGCGTACAACAGACCCTTCAACGTTGTCTACCAGGACCCCGCCCCTTACCAGTAAGTGTTTTTTTCTTAATTTCTGTACGAATAATAAACGAGCACACTGTCTATCTGTTGATAAGTAAGTTCTGTTGCCCATAAACACCTACATCTATACTCGATTAGGAATTAAAACACAGAAACGTTGTTACCACTATTTATTTACATAACTATTTATTTGTATTTTACTTTTATTTTTATTGTATATTAATGTGTGACTTAAATTCAAATCCAAGATAAACCTAACATATTCAACATTCATTAATGGTTTTTTATATCAGATGTATATATACTCGAAATATATATATATCTCCTCATCTGACAATATATATATTATATATATATATATATATATAAATTACGTGTCACGTTGTTTGTCCGCGATGGACTCCTAAACTACTAAACCAATTTTAATCAAATTTGCACACCGTGTGCAGTTTGGTCTAACTTGAGAGATAGGATAGTTTTTTCCCACATTTTGTTTTCGGAATTTAAGGATTTTTAATAGGACATGACCAATTGTAATCGAAAAGGGCAGAACAACGTCTGCTTGGCATATATATATATATATATATATATATATATATATATATATATATATATATATATATATATATATATATATATATTTAAAGTAACGTATGTTACTTAGGATTAAATTCAAACCTCACAGCAGCAGCAGCTATAAAAATAATGAATAGCAGTAATACCAAACAGTATTAACATATTACATACGATAAAAACAAACAACGATAAAATTTGGATTAAAACTAACATTACACAATAACAGTATAATACATAACAATGTTTCATTACTAGTAAAAAAGGTAACCGGCTTTCGAAACACAGCAATATGCTGCTATTTTTTAAGGTATTCTATGGGAGTGTTTTTTTTATAAAACTAAAGCAACAGACGATATATAAAAATAATCCATAGATATCTGCAGTGAATTTCAAATAAAGAGAGATACAAAATGCGTTGTCACTCTGAATGCGTCGACAAACTAAGATGAAATGCCTCGCAGCCTGTATTATATCTCTTTACCCTCTAAACCAGAACACAATTGTGTAAGCACTACTATTCGGCAGCAGGAATTAATAAGAGGGTGGTTCGTACCCAGATGGACTCCTGGGTAGGAAAGTAATCTTACCGCTCTTCTCTTTCTCTTGTTAAGTCACTCTATTCGTGCAACAAATATAACACAGCTACAACCTGGCTCTATTATATAAGTCCTGACCGAGTCGCCATCAAATTTTTTATAGGATAGGGTGACAAACTAGCACACAGTCCACCTGATGGTAAGTGGTTACTGTGGCCCATAGACGTTTTGTAAGTGGTAGAGCCATGCTGCAGTTATATTGGTAGTATTGTTGTAGCACGAATGAGTCGATTCGACCGGGGACCACGCTCTCACAGAATAACAGCTGCATTAATGCTGCTGTTTCGTATAGTGAGTGAAGGAGACCCTTTTTACTGGAAAGGAGGTATTCCATCTTAGTCCTCGCGGGTGACAACGCATCTGCATTTTGATCGTAATCGAGGATAGATGTAGATGTCTATTGACCACAGCAACCACTTACCATCAGGTGGACTGTGTGCCCTATCCAATACAAAAAAAATATAGACGTTGGGCTACACCACACCACAACCACGTATTTATCATTGAAGAGAAGAGATTAACCATCTTATTACAAAAACGTAGTTTATGGATACTTGTAATAAAAGGATGACAATCGAGGACACAGTCCACCTTATAATAAGTGGATGCGGAGACCCATAGACATCCAAATTTATCCTACATTAAAAATCTAACTCACTCCAAAGGACTATAATGAAATGCCTCGTTTCTATTAAAAGAAACTTTCGATTATTTACATTCATTATATGAAATACAGCAGAATTAAGTTGCTATTTCACGCTGGTATTCAGTGAGAGAAACTTTTAGGACTTTTTAATTGAATTGTGTACGAATGTACCCGGCCACATGTTGCTGTGGCTCATATTATGTTTATTTTAAGTTCATCATATGGCGCTGCTCCTCTTAAAGCAATTTTGTTTATATACACGCAGACTCAAACGCAACGTTCTGTCGCAATTACAAAGCAAGTAATGATGAACTTTCAGACTTAAGATTTTTAACGTTGATTTTATTTTATTAATTTTTATTTTTTTATTTTATATATTTAGATTAGAAGCTAATTTTAATGTTTTGTCTAATTGTTAATTATTTTTTGAATTGTGTCATTGCGCCGTTGGTTTGAGCTACATGTATTGAATTTCACATGCATAAATTACTTTAATAGCCCGTGATATTCCACGGCAGAACATGATCCCCTTCAATTGCAGGGATCTTAAAAGACGGATTTACTGTCGCACTAAGTTTTGGTACTTACTACCGTCTCGAACCTCTGACGGTGCTTAAACTTTTTACAGTTATACAAAGTAGGTATATTTTTTTAGAATAAAAATGATAAGCAAGCACACAGCCCACCTGGTGGTAAGTGTGTACCGTGGCCCATAGACATCTGCATCTATCCTCGATTAGGAATCCAAAAGTAGATACGTCATCACCCCTAAGGACTAGCATGGAATGCCTCCCATCCAGTGAAAACAGATATCCGGTTCTCTACACTCACCATACGAAACACAGCGGCATTGGGCTGCTCTTTTACGCTGTTATTCTGTGTCAGAACAAGATCCTACGCCTGTCGAGCTGACCAATTCATGCTACAACCATAATTTAGTTAGCCACTTGGCTAAACCACGTATTAAATAATAAAATAAATTACTAACAAATTTACAAATCGCGTGTACAGGTGTAACACGATGTCGTTTTTCATTGACAGAGCTCCAGGAGGCGAAGCACCTCACGGTGCCGTACGTCTGGCGCAGACGGCGATCTTACAGGGCCCAGTTGCTAGCTTCAGACCTCAATCTGGTATAAAACCCAACCTCAATTAAATATTCTAATGAAGCTTTTATAAAGTATCTATGTCTACGTTTTATTATCTATATCTACAACTTTCGAGTTTTTTCTACGGGGTTTTTTTATTAAAGAGTAGACAAATTTTAAACTAATTCAAATATATAAATAATGATAGGTATACAGTTATTGCAGGATTTGATGACACTAGGAAATAAGGCTTCTACTTTTATTTGAAATTATCCTGAATTGTATGTGATTTATGTGCAACAACGTTTTTGCCTACCGATCGACACTTGCAAATGTGTGAGTGAGCAGTAAAATCAATTAAACATAACATAACATAATCACTCACGCCTGTCACCCAGAGGGGTAGGCAGAGACTACGGACTTCCATTTGGCACGATCCTGACATACCTCTTTCGCCTCCTTTACATCCATATATCTACGCATACATGCTCGTCGGTTAAGGGTACTTCTAACGTGGCCCCTTTTCAAAATATCGCCAATTTGGTCGATAAACTTTTTTCTAGGGCGTCCCTTCCCGACTCGGCCGTTCACATCTGCCATATAAATTTGCTTTGTCACTCTTTCTTCATTCATTCTTTCTACATGACCAAACCACCGAAGCATTCCTTTCTTAATCCTGGTCACAACATCATCTTGCATACCACATTTATCTCTTATCATGTTCTCTCATTATTTCTCACCCTGTCATTCAGATTCAACCCTAGCATACTCCTTAAAGACCGCATTTCTACAGCATTTATTCTACTTTCGTGCTTCTTCTGCCACACCCAGCTTTCACTACCATACATTAAAGTAGGGACTAACACAGCATTATGAATTACCATACGTGCCTTTTTTGACACATTCTGGTTCTTCATAATAGAGTGTAGTGCCCCATTCACTCTATTCCCTGCATTTACTCGTCGTTCTATATCCCTATCATATCTACCATCCCTGCTAAATACACATCCCAAATACACAAACTCATTCACTTGCTCAATTAACTCTCCTTCTATTCTTATTTCACATACCGTTTTGCTTTCTTCTCTTTCAAAAACCATCACTTTCGTCTTACTTGCGTTCACTTTCATTCCCCTTTCTTTTAATTCCCAGTTCATTAATGTAACCTCATTTGCATCAGCCGCCGATGACGCAAATATGACTTGATCATCGGCATACAAAAGGCATTTGTCGGTTAACTCGCCCATTCTTAACCCACATTCTTCATCTTTCAAAGTTTGCAAACACCTGTCCATAAATAGGTTGAACAGCCAAGGGGAAGCTACACAGCCCTGTCTGACACCTTTTTGGATGCCAAACCAGTCCGAGTAGACCCCATTGATCTTGACACAAGGACTAGAGTCCCTATAAAGAGACCTTAATGCCTGTATCAAACCAGCGCTCAACCCATATGAGTTCAGTGTTTGCCATAACACATTCCTGTCCACTCTGTCATAAGCCTTTTCCAAGTCCATGAACGCACAAAAAACTTTCTGGTTTTTGGCCAAAAACTTCTCCGCAATCATGCGCATGGAAAAGACTTGATCTGTACACCCCATTCCCTTTCTAAAACCCGCTTGCACATCCCAAATTTTTCCATCAGTTTCTTTCATAACTCTTTCAATTAACACCTTAGCATACAGTTTACCCACAATACTAAGCAAGCTGATACCACGGTAGTTTTTGCAGTCCTGCTGTGACCCTTTTCCTTTATATATTGGTACCATAACTGCTTTACACCAGTCATCCGGTACCCGTTTTAATTCCCAACATAAATTAAACAAGGTGTACAGCAGGCCTGCCACCACTCCCTCTCCAGCCCTTATCATCTCGAGTGATACTCTATCATATCCAGCTGCCTTACCCGCTTTCATGCTTTTCATTGCTTTCATTATTTCATCTACACTTATCTCCATACCCCTTTCCACTTCTTTCGGAATTTCTAGTTCATTTAATTCAGACGACTCTTCACTCATAAACACGCTTTCAAAGTATTCCTTCCATCTGTTTAAATTCGAAGCTTCATCATTCAGAATACATCCATTCTCGTTTCTTATAGCATTCATTATAGGCTGTTTTGTATTTCCCCTGGCAGTTCCTACGAGTTTCCAGAACATTTTTATGTTAGCCTGGAAATTATCAGATATCCTTCTATCATTCTTATCCGTTCTTTCTTTCTTTTTCCTTTCAACAACTACTTTTAGTCTCTTATTTAGACGTCTAAATTCTGCCTTTTTTCTTTCAATCTCATCATTCATACCAGAAGAATTACCAGCTTTGGTTGCTAGTAAATCTAACCATGCTTTCTTCTTTGATTCAACTTCCACCCGTACCTCATCATCCCACCACAACGTATTACTTTTCCTTTCATTTGTTCTCTTACTTACACCACATACTTCAGTGGCGGCATCCACCAAACCTTTCTTAATATTGTCCCACACAGTATTCAAGTCTAAATCATTCATACACAACTCATTCAAACATCTAATATTTTCTCTCAGTCTACATTTATACTTCTCTTTCACATCTTCATCTTGTAACTTCTCTGTTCTTATACGCTGTAACGCAGTGGTAGACACAGATGTCCGATGCCGCCAACGCTTGAAAAGACCATTAATTCGACATAAGACCAAGTAATGATCCGTCCCTACGTTGGACCCCCGGTAAACCCTTGTATCTACGACTGCGCTCCTCATTCTTTCATCCACAATTACGAAATCTATCATGCTTCTATCATCACCTCTTTCCCATGTATACATGTGAATCTTCTTATGACGAAAAAAAGTATTCGTCACAAAAAGATTCTTTTCCACACATACGGTGAGGAGGTCTTCACCATTCTCATTTATACTTTCATCACCAAACATTCCCAATATCCTTTCATAACCAGACCTATTCACCCCAACCCTTCCATTAAAATCTCCTAAATAGTAATATTTTCATTTTCCTTACATTTTGTCAACACCATCCTTACCATGTCCCAAAACTGCTCTTGGATGTAAGTGGGCTTAGACATGTCTGGGGCGTACACCCCTAGCAGGAACAGCTTCTTTAAGCCCACTTTAATTCGTATCCATAGCAGCCTCGGGCTTACACATTCATACTCTTTCACACATTGACCCATTCTTTCTGAAAGGATGAAACCGACACCCTGGCATGCCCGTTCGGTCTCGTCTACGCCAGACCAATACACGGTATACGTGCCATGTGCAGTGGCATCCTTTCCCTTTCGTTTCGTCTCATTCACACATAAAACATCTATTCCTCTGTCATTCATCATTTCGCAAACTTCATCCATCTTATCATTCATTCCTCCACATACATTCAGCGTAGCCAGACGGGTTTCCGCAATCCACTTTTCGCCCCTCCGGGAGACAGAACGTGACGGGTGGCGAACCTCATCGCCGGTTTTTCTCCCGGAGATTCTTCGCACCCCTGCCCCATTGAAGGGGCGCCGGGAACTCGGGGCCATTTCTTTTGTTTTCTGAGTCATGGTGCGAACAAGGGGTGGTGGTAGATTTTACGCCGCTACCATACGGCGTGGAGCCGAGTCTATTTTTTCGGCTTTGTCGCTCGTTTAGCATCACCCGGGGGACACGTGTAGGGTGGGCCTAAGGTTAGGTGGTCGAAGCCTACGGACGCGAGCAACTCATCCCCCTACATTATCACGCATTTTGAACTTAAAAGATAAAAAGGACAGAATATTTGAGTTCTTTTTATTAATTTTTCACCATTTGCCTATATTACTTATTGAAACTTCTCCGCAAAGCAGATGTTTCAAAATGGGCCAGGTCTATGTAAACTACCAAAAATAAAAAAGAGAAAAATCTGTAGAGTTCGGGAAAAATACAGATAATTCATTTAAATCTATCCTGTCGTGGAAAGCAATTAATGTTTATCAATTATTTTTATTGACTTTCAACATGGCGTCTCACCGACTTAGTTACTCTGTGTTAATAGACAATGATAGTAAACCATAAAGTTAGTGACCAATGATCGTAGAAAGGGAATTGTCGGTTGTCACAACAGTGTCAAAAATACTTGAAATAAACATGTCAAACTTCATTAATCAATAAAAATGACAGCTTAGCGCCATGACAGGTTTTTATTGTGTGGTGCAATTAACATAACATAAACACTCACGCCTGTCACCCAGAGGGGTAGGCAGAGACTACAGACTTCCATTTGACACGATCCTGACACACCTCTCTCGCCTCCTTCACATCCATACATCTACGCATGCATGCTCGTCGGTTAAGGGTACTCCTAATTTGGCCCGTTTTCAATAAATCGCCAATTTGGTCGATGAATTTTCGCCTAGGACGTCCCTTTCCGACTCTGCCATTCACTTCTGCAACATAAATTTTCTTTGTCACTCTTTCCTCATCCATTCTTTCCACATGACCAAACCACCGAAGCATTCCTTTCTTAATCCTGGTCACAACATCATCTTGCAAACCACACTCTTCTCTTATCACACAATTCTTCACCCTGTCATTCAGATTCAGCCCTAACATACTCCTTAACGACCGCATTTCTACTGCATTTATTCTACTCTCGTGCTTCTTCTGCCACACCCAACTTTCACTACCATACGTTAAAGTAGGGACCAACACAGCATTGTGAATTGCCATACGTGCCTTTTTTGACACATTTTGACTCTTAACAATAGAGTGCAGGGCCCCATTTACTCTGTTTCCTGCGTTCACTCGTCGTTCTATATCCTTATCATATCTACCATCCCTGCTAAATACGCAACCCAAATATACAAACTCATCTACTTGCTCGATCAACTCCCCATTTATTTTTATTTCACATATCGTTTTACTTTCATCTCTTTCAAAAACCATAATTTTCGTCTTACTTGCGTTAACTTTCATACCCCTTTCTTTTAATGATCTGTTCATTAATGTAACCATCATTTGCAACTCAGCCGCCGACGACGCAAGAATAACTTGATCATCGGCGTACAAAAGGCATTTGATGGTTAACTCACCCATTCTTAATCCGCATTCTTCAACTTTCAAATTTTGCAAACAACTGTCCATAAATAGGTTGAACAACCACGGGGAAGCCACACAGCCCTGTCTGACACCTTTATGGATGCCAAACCAGTCGGAGTAGACCCCGTTGATCCTAACACAAGCACTAGAGTCCCTATAAAGAGATTCCAATGCCTGTATCAAGCCAGCGCTCAACCCAAATGAGTTCAGTGTTTGTCATAGCACATTCCTATCCACTCTGTCATAGGCCTTCTCCAAGTCCATGAACGCACAAAAAACCTTTTGGTTTTTGGCCAAAAACTTCTCCGCGATCATGTGCATGGAGAAGACTTGATCTGTACATCCCATTCCCTTTCTAAATCCCGCTTGCACATCCCAAATTTTTCCATCGGTTTCTTTCATGACCCTTTCAATTAGTACCTTGGCATACAATTTTCCCACGATGCTAAGAAGGCTGATACCGCGGTAGTTTTTACAGTCCTGCTGCGACCCTTTTCCCTTATATACTGGGACTATCACGGCTTTGCACCAGTCTCCCGGTACCCGCTTCAGTTCCCAGCATACATTAAACAAGGTGTGCAGCAGGTCTGCCACCACTTCCTCTCCAGCCCTTAGCATTTCGAGTGAAACTCTATCATAACCGGCAGCCTTACCTGCTTTCATGCTTTTCATTGCTTTCATTATTTCATCTATACTTATCTCGCTACCTCCTTCCTCTTCTTTCGGAGTTCCTATTTCATTCAGTTCATACGTTGTCTCCTCACTCATAAACATGCTTTCAAAATATTCATTCCATCTCTTTAAACTCAAAACTTCATCATTCAGAATATAGCCATTCTCATCTCTTATAGCATTCATTATAGGCTGTTTTGAACGTTCCCTGGCAGTTCTTACGAGTTTCCAGAACATTTTAATATTTGCCTGGAAGTTATCCGATATTCTTCTATCATTCTTATCCGTTCTTTCTTGCTTTTTCCTTTCAACTACTTCTTTTACTCTTTTATTTAGATGTCTAAAGACTGCCTTTTTTCTTTCAAAATCATCATTCGTACCGCTAGAATTACCAGCCTTAGTTGCTAGTAAATCTAGCCATGCTCTCTTCTTTGCTTCAACTTCCGTACATATCTCATCATCCCACCACAAAGTATTATTTTTCCTTTCATTCTTTCTTTTACTAACACCACATACTTCGGTAGCTGCATCTACTAAACCTTTCTTAACATTTTGCCATACATTCTCCAAGTCTAACTCATTCATACATAATTCATCCAAACCACTTACGTTTTCTTTCAGTCTACATTTAAACTTGTTTTTCTCACCTTCATCTTGTAATATTTCTGTTCTAATACGCTGTAACGCAGTGGTAGACACAGATGACCGATGGCGCCACCGCCTGAATAGACCATTAATTCGGCATAAAACCAAAAAATTATCCGTTCCTACGTTTGACCCCCGGTAAACCCTTGTATCCATCACTGCGCCCCTCAATCTTTCATCCACAATTATGAAATCTATCATGCTTCTATCATCACCTCTTTCCCAAGTATACATGTGAATCCTCTTGTGGCGAAAGAAAGTGTTCGTCACAAAAAGATTCTTTGTGGTGCAATTCCAAGTGTAAATTCCTGTGCTTTACCAGCAAACAAAGTCATTATAAAATAATTGGACAATTGAGAACCGTTTAAAAAGTGTTTCCCTATTTTTGAGTATAGTGTACAAGAACCTGGCCCAGGTTCCATACATTTTTGAACATCCCATTTGGCCGGTTATTGCAAAATATCGAGCAGGGGGCTTCTATAGGCTAATATACAGGTTGTATATCGGCCCAAAAAAGACCCCTGCTGGACATAGATCGCTTCTATTTATTGTAAGAAAGATTTGCCTAAATTATTACGCTTGACAGATAGATCAAACTAAAAACTCAGATGCCTTTTCATCACTAAGCTCACACACGGTACTCACCATACAAAATATAGCAAAATTACGCTAATACAGATGATATGTAACGAGGAAGTCTAATAATATAGAGGGCTTCAAGGCAATAGTGAATAAGGTCTTGTTAAGTCAAGTCATTGCGCTTTGCTCTCTTCGGCTCATCGTCACTTACCATCAGGTGGCATTGTATTCAACCGACTTAAAATAGTTAAAAAGATACGTTAGATGTAGGATATGATGGCACTGTCTACAAATTGGTAACGACAGTTACACTATTGGCTCCGTGGCGCAGTGGCTTTGCAAAGAGTTGCTGTGCTGTGAACCGCGGGTTCGAATCCCGCACGGAACAAGCATTTGTATGGTCTACAAATAATTATTACACGTCTGGTTGTTTTTCCTCGTGCAATTTATGTTTGTAAACTGCCTCCACAATACAGGGGAAAATCCTAATGTCAGATAACGTTTTTAAAAAAAAGAGATAGTGCAGTTACACATAAAACATTCCGAGTCTTCAAACCAAACCAATATAATATATTTTAATACACCAAAACCGTTTGACTAACATACCTTACGGGACTTCATAATTAAAATTTCAGAAGCAGTCACAAGCCCTGATTCTAAAAGACCTGGTCAGGAATTCGAAAATCTCGAAACCAAAGAAAATCTAGAAGAACCGAGAAGGAACGCGAGACCAGCGCCTTCACATACACAAATTAGGAACAAAGCTTGAATGAGTATATAAACAGTTCTATACACGGAATTTACTAGAACTTGTTTTTAAGACTAAAACAATCTGTTATTACTTATTATATTGTATATACTATTTAAAACTATATCTGTTTACAATAAAATTTGTTTTGTAAGTCTAAAAATGGCCAGTGATTAGTTTATTTAAAAACAAAATATTTTTTATCACAAATAAAATGCAATTTTGTGGGAATGTAATATTATAATAAAGTTTCGATGTTTTTAATACCTACAAAATACAGTAATGCAATATTTTATTTTGTATTTATTTTCTTATTTATGTTATATCTAATAGTAATTTTCGTGAACTTTTGTACCTGAAAAACAAATAAACAAACAAAAAAAAACAAAACAAAAATGATATGTTCGGAAATTCTATTTTTGTTTTACTTTGCCCTATCTAATTAATACCAAATCTCCAATAGCTGGTACCCGTCTCCTGAACACACACTTGTTATCGTATTTCCCACTCTTGTTTGCATCATTATTACATGAGTGATATCGACGGTGATCAAAATCAGGTCCCATGCATACTTTAAAATTTAGGCGAGTGTCGAAGTAACTATCCTTTAAGAAATAAAAAGGCAAAGCAGGATAATCTCTTATCTTTAAAAAACAGTATTCAAGATAAAACATTTATCAAGATATCGTCTAGGAGTTACGTAGCCGTTACATAATAAAAATAAATACCTAAATTACAGTTACATTATTTAACTAGCTGTCAGTTCCAATAGCTTTAATAGATCTACAAAGCGCACAAAGTATACAGGCAACAAGGAAAATCAGCCGTGATTTGGAGTGGCAGTGCACTAACTAGTCCGGCCGGCCTTTCTAGCCAGCGAGGTAACTAGGTTGTACTGTAGAGTGCAGTGCCCTTTGTAACTGCATCAGAACACGATTCAAATCAACATGCATAATATTGTCGCTGATATAAAACTTAAGGTTCAAAATTGTACGAATAAAAATTTTGTTTCTGCTTCAACTTAAGGTTGACAATATTGTTACCATACGGCCTATAAAAAGTCCACTGTTGGACATTGGGCTCCTCCATGGATTGCATCATAGGAGTATATTGCCATAGTTGCCACGCATCTTCTGTTTGAAATTCCCTCTGTCGCCTATTACAACACACACGTAGACGTGTAATGACACTGCATAAGAGTATTGAATACTCCATATAATGTTATAGATTAGTAATCAGTGACAACATCTAACGCAATGTCATTGACCTTTAGCAGAAACTTGTCTATAAGAAGACTGATATTTAATAATTATACTATGACAGGTTCCTAGATGGTGAGCCGGAGGTAGGATTTCTTTTTATTCCTAGGATTCCAAATAGCAAGCCGCCAAGTACTGCTTGCAATACTGTATTCCGCAATGAGGGGCTTGGGAATCCAGCATGTTACAGGCTGTGAGATATTCCACCTTAGCCCTCAGCTAACGCATCCGCAGCCTTTTTTGTTTCAAGTTGACTACAAGTATCCTTGGACTGCAATAGCCACCTACCGTCATGTGAACTCTACGTTTGTCACTTGCTTCGGTTCTATAAAAAATCACGTTATCCTATGTGTATTTCTTTACATAACCTCTATTTCGTTCATCATCATCATCATCACAGCCCTTCACAAGTCCACTGCTGAACATAGGCCTCCCCCAAGTAATGCCACAAAGCACGGTCCTGAGCCACCTGCATCCATCGACTTCCTGCATATCTTACCAGGTCGTCACTCCATCTAGTGGGGGGTCGCCCTACACTACGCCTACCGGTACGAGGCTGCCACTCGAGAACCTTTCTTCCCCATCGGTTATCGGTTCTTCGAGCTATATGGCCGGCCCATTGCCACTTCAGCTTACTAATCCGTTGGGCTATGTCGGTCAATCTGGTTTTACTGCGGATATCCTCATTTCTGAGTCTATCACGCAGAGAAACTCCGAGCATAGCCCTCTCCATAGCTCGCTGAGCGACCTTGAGCGTCCTCATACGGCCAGCAGTGAAGGACCACGTCTCTGATCCGTAAGTCATCACTGGCAACACGCACTGGTTGTACACTTTAGTTTTCAGAGATTGAGGTATACCTGACGAGAAGATATGTCGTAATTTCCCGAACGCTGCCCAGCCGAGTTGAATCCGTCGATTGACCTCTCGGTCGAAGTTGGACTTACCTAGTCGGAATATTTGTCCCAGGTAAACGTACTCGTCAACAACTTCGAGCATAGTGCTCCCAACAACTACCGGCATAGGTGTGACATGGACATTAAACATAATCTTTGTTTTGTCCATGTTCATCTTAAGACCTATCCGTTGGGAGGCACTATTGAGGTCATTGAGCATAGTGCTTAAGTCCTCCAGCGATTCTGCCATAAGGACTATATCGTCGGCAAATCGAAGGTGAGTGATGTACTCGCCATTGATGTTAATACCGTATCCTTTCTAGTCCAGTAGCTTGAAAACGTCTTCCAAAGCAGCGGTGAAGAGTTTCGGGGATATAACGTCACCCTGTCTTACACCTCTCTGCAGTTGGATAGGTTTCGAGCTCTGGTTCTGTACTCGGATAGCCATCGTAGCCCTACTGTACAAACACTTCAGCACTTCGATATACCGACAGTCAACTTGGCACCGCTGAAGGGACTGCAGCACCGCCCAAATTTCGACGGAATCAAAGGCTTTCTCATAGTCCACATACGCCAGGCAAAGTGGCAAATTGTACTCTTCAGTCTTCTGTACAATTTGCCGCAGGGTATGTATGTGGTCTATGGTACTGAAGCCTTTTCGGAAACCGGCTTGTTCGGGAGGCTGGAAGTCGTCGAGTCTGCGTGCGAGACGATTCGTAATGACTCTCGAAAACAGCACGTAGACGCGGCTCAGAAGGGAAATCGGTCTGTAGTTCTTCAAGAGAGCGTTGTCGCCTTTCTTAAAGAATAAGACCACCGCACTTCTGCTCCATGCCTCTGGAGTAGTGCCACCATGGAGGACGGAATTGAAGAACTTCTGAAGGACTTCAATTACCGGTGTTCCATCCGCTTTCAGAAGCTCCGCTGTAATTCCATCCTCGCCTGGGGCCCAGCCGTTTTTAAGGTGCTGGAGAGCCCTTCAAATCTCGCTTAGACTGACCTCCGGGATATCATCGAAAAAGTGTCGGATACGACTTGCTCTTGGATCGTTACTCACACTTGCGTGTGGCTCCAACGATGATGTGTACAGCTGCCCATAGAACCTCTCAATCTCACTCAAAATCTCAGGTGTCCCGGAAACGATGCTGCCACACTCAGTCTTCAGCCTTGACAGTTGGCTCTTTCTGGCAGACAGATCTCTGGCAAAGACTTTGGAGCCCTGGTTCCGCTCGATCGCTTCTTTAATACGAGCAGTATTAAAGTTGCGTAAGTCTCGCCGCATGCATTTGGAGATCTGTCTGTTCAGTTGCCTGTATGCTGTCAAATCTGTTGACGATTGCAGCCTCATCTCCCGTCTAACAGCCATGAGATTAAGAGTGTGATCGGAGAGTTTTTATGTTCTTCTGCGGCGGGTCTTGCAGAACTTAGCTCCGACCGCATGGACAGTTTCCACGAGCTTATCATTCATATCGTCCACTGCATTGCAATCTTGTAGGCACTGAAAGCGGTTGTGTAACTCGAGCTGAAAGTTTTCGGGATTTTGGATCAGAGCACGAGGGGGACGGAGCGTTGACTTCATTAGACGAGACCTCTCCAACTTAACGTTTAGGTTCAGTGTGCCTCTAACCATTCGGTGATCGCTGCCAGTTTTCACCCTTGCGATCACTGAGACATCACTGAACAGTTGGCGTCTGGTCGTCATAATGAAGTCAATCTCATTTTTTTTCGAACCGTCGGGGCTCGACCAGGTCCACTTCCTGTGGGGCCGCTTCTGGAAGAAAGAGTTCATCATAAAGAGTCCCTCTTTCTCAATAAAGTCGGCCAGCTGCTGGCCCCTTCGGTTCCGTTGCCCTACTCCAAATTTCCCTAACTTCAGCTCACCGCTTTCTCTTGTGCCTAGTTTTGCGTTGAAGTCTCCCATCAACACCGTGTAGTGGGTTTTGGAGGAATGTATGGCTTTGGAAATATCCTCATACATTTCCTCCACCTCCTCATCGGAATGTGCCGACGTTGGTGCGTAAACCTGTATGACCTTCAGCGAATACCGTTTGGTGATTCTGAGTATCAGGTACGCGACCCTCGTCGACACACTCTCAATCTGTACAACGTTGTTGACGAGAGACTTGTGGACGATAAATCCGACACCTCCTTGGGACAGATGGTCGCCCTCCCGGTGATAGAACAAGTTGCCGGATTCGAGAATCACCGTGTCCTCCCCCTCTCTTCGGACCTCGGATAATCCTATAATACTCCAGCGCAACTTGTCTATCTCTTCTTCCAGCTCCAGGATCTTCTCGTCAGTCCTCAGTGTGCGTGCGTTAAATGTTGCCAGGTCGAGTCGTCGTAGGTGGCAACCGAACCTCCACCGGAGATTCTTAGCACCCCCTGCCCCGCCGTTACCATGGTCGCCACCGTAGCCAGGAATAGCGGGGCCGCCGGGGAACTGGGGGCCGTCTATTTGTGTAATTGTTCATGGGGGGGTATATTGCCATAGTTGCCACGCTTGGCGAGCGGGTTGGCAACCGCAGTTTTTTTTTTTGTCGTACAGTTGCTGTTATCAGGAAGATGCTGCTGCCCATCTCCTGCCTGTCTCCCTCTGTCGCCTCTTACGACACCCACGGGAAGATATGGGGTAGTGGATATTCTTAACCGCCACTACACGGCGAATCTATTTCGTTATTTGTCTATTTTTCCCAAAACTTTTACTGTGTTAATAAATGTAAAAATAATTAATGATGTAATAATGTCCTGACTTAAATTTCAAATTCCAAGTCCCAAATTTTAGTCGTCAGGGAAGACAGACGCTCCCCCCCCGAACGGGTTCCCGCCTTGTCGTGGCGGGGGGCTTAGTAGCCGTGGCTTGGTCTC